CAGGCTGATTGAAAACATCGAGAAGATTAAGGATTAACTAGTTGACATGTTTGATACACTAAAAGAATTGGGTGGCATGGTGGCTCAATGGTTAGCACTGCTGCCTCACAGTGCCAGAGACCTGGGGTCAAGTCCACCCTTAGGTGACTGTCTGTGTGGAGTTTGCACATTGTCCCCATGTCTGTGTGGGTTTCCTTCGGGTGTTCCCATTTCCTCCCACAGTACAAAGATGTGCAAGGTAGGTGGACTGGCCATGCTAAATTGCCCATGTTGTCCACAGATATGCAGGCTAAGTGGATTAGCCAGGGGAAATGCAGGGTTACAGGAATGGGTGGCTGTGGGTGTGATGCTCCTCAGAGAGGCAGTGTGGATTTGTTGGGCTGAAGGGCCTGTTTCCACACTGCAGGGATTCTATTCTATTCTAGCACCTTCCAAACCCACAACCACTTCCATCTAGAAGGACAAGGGCAGCAGATACATGGGAACACCATCGCCTCCAAGCCACTCACCATCCCGACTTTTTCAGCGTCGCTGGGTCAAAACCCTGGAATTCCCTCCTTAACAGCATTGTAGGGCTACCTAAAGCACATGAACTGCAGTGGTTCAAGAAGGTAGTTCACCACAACCTTCTCAAGGGCAAGGCAATAAATGCTGGCCCAGTCAGTGACACCTAGATCCCCTGAATAAAGCACCATTGCTTTAAGCACAGGGGGAACGGTCACCCAGGATTCTTACTCTGTCACCAGGGATTAGCAACTCATTGGCAAGTGACTTACAGGCATGAAGTCCCCATATTTCACACGTGATGATGTGCAACAGTGACACAGTGTATCACAGGGCAATGCTACATTTTGAAAAGGTACAAGCCTGCAGGAGGTGAGGTGCATGGTGAGAGGTGACTGTAGCTTGGATAACAGGCACCACAGGGCTCCTCACAACTGAAATCTCTCAGCCACTAGAAATTCATCTTGAAATGGGGCTTGTCGACTATTGGTCAAACACACAACACAGCAACCTTCTTCAATATGAAACCCATCACTGCATCACAAATAAAAGATAGGTTTGCCTTTCTATAATTTTTAAAATCAATGAAACCAAATTCAACCAAATTTAAACTGACAGCCCCTTAGGGCGCCCCATAACAACAATCAAATTATGAAGGGAACTTAAAGAATTGTCGATTAAAATATCATTTTTCGGGGTAATGTGCCCAGCACCTGCTGCAACCACTGATTGCAGATGGCCTGAAGACATCGCAGGTTCCCTTTCCAAAAGGCACCAAATTATGGGCGTGACCACTGGACGGAGGCAGGGGGCTTACCTTTCTAGCACACCTTACATGATCTCACACCATCCTCAAGCTCTCCCAACTTTGTAGGTAATTAGTACTTTTGAATGTAGTCCCTGCTGCATTTAGAAAATGTGGCAAATTAAGCAGAGCAACCACCCACAATGAGATAAACACCAGAATTATTTGATCTCAAGCCAGGGCGATGTAGAGACAGTTTACGTTCAATCACTTTGCAACAGAGTACTGAAAATATCTTTTTTAAAAGATTAACTCTTGGGATATGGGTGTTCCAAGGAAGGTTGAGATCTATTGTCTGTCACAAATTGTCCTTGAGAAAGTGATGGTGACTCTCTCCTTGAAGCACTGCAGTCAATATGGTGACTAGTCTCCCCTAGTGCTGTACAGTTTGGTGTTCGAATACGCGACAATGAAGTAACGGTGATAAATATCCAAGTGGGATGTGTGTGACTTAGAGGCAATGGTGTTCACAAGAACCTTTAGAGTGGAGGATGTCCTAGGTTTGGGAGGGTGGAATTAATGGGTCAAAATCATAGAATCAATACAGTATGGAAAGAAGCCATTCAGTCTATTGAGTTTGCACTGATCCTCTGAAGAGCATTCCACCCAGACCCCTGGAATCCACATTTATCATGGGGTAATTTCAGTATGGCCAATCCACCTGATCTGCACATCTTTAGACTGTGGGTGGAAACCAGAACACCCAGAGGAAACCCATGCAGACATGGGGCAAATGTGGGACAGTCACGCAACACTGGAATCGAACCCGGGTCCCTGATGCTGTGGGTCAGCATCCTGACCACTGTGCTACCAGGCCACAGATGTAAGGATAAATATTTTTGGAAACAAAATGATTTTGGGCCATTTGTTTTCAGGACCAGAGAAATATGAAGTAGTTTCCGGTCTTTCCCCTCCCTCTGTTGCCTTGTACAGAGTCTTTACTTGGTCCTTTAACTGAACCCCACTCCTGGTTACACCCCTCCCCCTCAGTTTCTCCCAGTCAGCACTTTGGTTCAATAGGTCAAACACTGTGCATAGTGCAGTCTCCAGCAGCTGTTCCAGCAGGGTGTTGCACTGAGGAGTAAGGCGAGTGCACTCTTCATGATGGGTAAACGGGTTGTGTTTGACCTGCTTTTGTTGCACAGTTTGCCAGTATGATGGTCATTGTGCAAAGTTCGTGTAGAGAGCTCAGATGAGCCCAAAACGCTGCCAAAATGAACAAAACAAAACCCTCCACAACAACTCATTTGACAAGACATAAAGATCCATGATTTAGCAGCAAGCAAACTGACAAAGAACAACATTTCACTGACAGTACACAATGATTCATTTAGCTGGGCATCGTAAACATTCCACTTCCTAATAAGGTCAGGGAATGGGGAGGAGCTGAAAGCTGAAAAATACTGTACAATAAGGAATATTGGTCTTTATAAAGTATTCTTCACATTACTAACATCTCAAACAGGATCACGAATTACATTTAAGTGTTGGCATTTACAATGTGGACAAACATGGTAGCCACTTGGCACACAGCAAGATCCCACAAGGTGCAGTGAGTTGAATGACCCCCAGTTCATCTATTTTCTGGTAAGTGACTTTGCTTGAGGGAGGGATGCTGGCCAGGACACTCTGAAATCTTCCACCTCTTCTTCAAATACTGAAATGGAGTCCTAAACATGGACACCATGCTCTGACGTCCCCTCTGCAGTATCACACTCAGGGGATGTGGTGATTTTGTGATAACATCAGCAGAGTTTAATGTTCTGGGGACGTGGGTTCAAACCCCATCATAGCAAATGGTGAAATTTTAATTAAATTAATAACCGGCAATTAAAAATCTAGCCTAATAATAAAATTCACCAAGGCTTCTTAGACAGTACCTTCCAAACCCATGACCATTACCATCTAGAAGGACAAGGGAAGCAGATGCACAGGGACACCAGTACCTCTTCCCCACCAAGGCGTTCACCATTCTGACTTGGAAATATAATCATTATTCCTTTACAGGGTCAACATTGCAGATACCTTCCATAGCGGTATTATGAATGGCCCTACACCAAATGGACTGCATCAGTTCAAGAGGCTAGCTCAGCACCTCCTCCTCCAGGGCACTAGGAATGTAATAACCCCTACAAGCCCCATGCAAGTTCCCTTGTTAACAGGCAAGGGCCTGCCCAGCTGGAACTCATCACCTGTGCCCTTTCTGCTGCAGACCCATGGCCCTCTTGTGGTGCAGTTGTAATGTCCCTTTCCCTGGACCAGGAAGCCAGCTCAAGTTCCACCTGCTCCAGCGCTGTGTAATAACATCTCTGACCAGGTTGATTAGTAAAATAGGTAAAATAAAAAGACTAAAGCAGACTCAGCAGGTGACTACTGGTGGTGGTTAATAATTATAAACAAAAATTGGTCACAGTGATCTGGTGGCGGGAAAGTCAATCAGGCATGTGTGTGATAACACTTTCAGATAAAAAGAAAAGCAGACGTAGGACATAAAAGAATATAAAGGAAAAAGCTGACTCAGGGATGGATCTGCAGACCTAGCCGATGTACACCATGAGTAGTGGCTCTATTTTGGTGATCAACAATAAACAATTTTTCTTTCCATTCAGGCCTCCTGAGTTAATATGGGACGGGTAATAAATACTGGCCTAGCCAGCGATACTCACATTCAGTGAATAAATAACAATGAATAAGGCTGCACTGGAAAACATTAATCTGCAATCTCTGTCCACATCCTGCATTGGGGCCTGATCCAATAACCTGTCTCAGAAACAACAGTTCTATTGATTCCAACTAACTTACCAAAGCTAACAGCCAATGGCAACTTGTGCTCACTCTAGGCTACTTTTAAAAAATGGTACATGCTTTTCCATTACATCGGATCTTTCTCATTCTGTAACAACAATGGTTTGTATTTATATAGCACCTTTAAATGTAGTGGTAGCAAATTAAATCTAACATTAAAAGATGTTATGGACAGAGAAGCAAAGTTTCATTGAAGAAGTAGGCTTCAATGAGAAGAGAGACGTTCACACCAAGACGTTCCAGAGTTCAAGGCCCCAGGCTTTTGAAGGGACAACTTCCTCATTGGAACAAAGGAAATCAAGGTTGTGCAAGAGACTAGGACTGGAGGAGAGGAGAGAGATCTTAGAGGCCTTTAGGAGTAGATGAGCCATCGCTTCAAAACCTCTCTTTCTAGTTCCTCAAGATTAGTTTACAATAGTTTAATTAGCATTGCTCAACCAAGAGAACTAAAGTTCGTCTTAGTTTCATGGTCACCATTACAATCAATTGTTGTTAAAAACCCCTCTGTTTCACTAATGCCCTTTAGGGAAAGAAATCTGCCACCCTCACCCAGTCTGGCCTACATGTGACTCCAGACCCACAAATATCAGGTTGATTCTGAACTACCCTCAGAAATGGCTTAGCAAGCCACTCAATTCAAAGGCAATTAGGGCTAGACAATAAATACTGGACTTTCCAGAAACCCGCACATGAAAGAATAATAAAATTGGAGGAAATTTTACTTTGCTTCAGTTGTCTTGACCTGGGAGTGCTTGGCAAAGGAGATTGGACATTCAAAGTGATCCACTTGTTAGCACCAAGCAGTTGGATCTCATGCAGCAGAACATTTTTTCAAAAAGCACCAAAAAACAGTTACGATAAAGACTGTTTGAGTCAGACTGCTTACTGTACCATAAAAGACGGATGGTGGGTCGTGGAAGAAGGGATAATCTGTCAGGAAGAGTAGGTAGGTGCTGTAGAACCAGGAGGCCGTGTAGAAAGTCAGCTTCCACGCACTTTCTGGCATCTTGGCAGCATCTCGGAGTGGCAGGTCACACCAGTGAGCTAATGGCTGAAAGACAGAGAGAGAGGGAGAGGAAGACCAGTTGTCACCAACACTCAGCAGAAGCAGATCACAATGGCAGCTACTAGTTATAGACCACAATTTGGCTCTCTGTACAATTGCATGCCGAGGTTGGGACTATTAGGGTGATGTGGGGGGGTAGGAAGAGGGATAGGTAGAGAATTGAGAAGAGGGTAGGGGATCAGTCCTACTTGGTGCAGTAAAAACCTCTGTTCCCTCAGCCGAAAGAGTCACGTGAGAGCCTCAGTATTTCGTGTCGGTGGCCTGTTCGGCTGTGGAAGGCATCACTAGTAAACCTGACTCTCCCTTCACTTGAAATGAACACAGTTGGAATCATACTGGCACCGAAGCAGACTATTCAGCCAAAGTGAGTTGCAAATGAACCAGAGACATGTTTAGCCTGAGTTCAGTGACCATTGCTGTTGGAGAGGTCAAGAAATTTAGAAGTTTCAGCTTTGCTGAATGGCCTGCAGTTTTTAACCTTCCCAACTGAGTTCCTATACATGGGCAGCCTGATTAATAACAGATCCTATCTGGAGGGAAGCTAGCAGCAGCATTGGAGGAGTATTCTGATATTGGAGGAGATTATAGAGATTGAGCGGTGTGAGGCTTTGGAGAAGTTTGCAAACAGGAATGAGAATTTGTTAATAAAGAGGGATTACTTCATCAGGAACCAGTGCAGCGAGCAGAAGAGCAATGGGGGAAGTGAGACTAGGTGTATGTTAGGGCACAGGAAGCTGAGTTTTGTAGGATCGCAGAGTTTACAGAAGGCAGAAAGCAAGAGACAGCCAGGAGTGTGCACAGAAGTTACGTGTAACAGTAATACAGACGTGAATAAGGGATTCAGCAGATGAATAGGCATGGGCAATGGGACACAGGCAGAAATGTATGTTCTTAGTGATGTCATGGAAATGCGGTCAGAAGCTCATTTTAGGATCGAATGTGACAAGACATTTCTCTCTCCTTCTTCAATCAACATGTAGGAGGGAGGTGGGATAGGTGCTGGGGTGGATTTACTCAGTACCATTCAGACAATTTTGATCAAAAGGAATAAAAAAAAGTTATATCCTCAAAGGGTATCAAAGAATGAATCCAGTTGAAAAATAAAAGGTCACAAACTAAATATTTAAAGAATGTGACAAATACAGAGGAAACATTTAATGGGGTGTGAGGAGGAGTGGGAATACATGAAATTCTTATTGAACTGATGCAGATCCAATCCTCCCCCACAACAAAGCTCGACAGAAATTGGAGGATTTTCTCCCCCACCACATCTCCCCAGCTTCCTCGGACGGTGCCAACTCCTGACAGGGTATAGTGCCCAGGTTGACTGAACCCCACTTACTGCCCTTCCCCCACACCTTCCTCTCAATCCCAAGTGGCCATCCTGGACAGTTAAATGCCACAAGACTTTCTGACTGTCTGAATGGCCTATCCTGTATCCTTAAACTGTGGACCTTGCTTCTGGACTCCCCAGTCATCGGAACATCATTCCTTCATTTGCCTTGTCTAGTCCTGTTACAACTTACAGGTTTCAGTGAGATGCCACCCTCATTCTTTTCAACTTCAGTGAATATAGCCTTAATCAATCCATTCTCTCCTCATATGTCAGTCCTACCATCCCAGAAATCAGTCTGGTAAACCTTTGTTGCACTCCCTCCATAAGCAGAACATCCTTCCTCAGATAAAAGAGACCAAAACTGCACGCAACACTGCAGGTGTAATCTCACAAGACCCTATACAATTACAGGAATACATCTCTACCCTTGTACTCAAACCATCTTGCTCTGAAGGCCAATATGCTACTTGCCTTCTTCACCACCTGTTGCACCTACATGTTTACTTTCAGGAACCGGTGTTCAAGCACACCCAGGTCTCAAAAGGAGGAGGTGCAATCTATCACCGTTCAGATAATAATCTGCTTTCCTGTTTTTGGCACCAAAATGGATAACCTCACACTATCCACATCTGCCACATATTTGTCCATTTGTTCAACTTGTCCAACTCATAGTTCCTCACTTAGATTGGCAAGCCACCTGAGAGTGTCAGTGAGGGGTTTTCTCACTGGCTCCCCAGCCAGGAGGCATGACCCTGGTTGTCACCTAGAACTACCACTTGCCATTTTCAAATTGCTATTTTATCATTAAGTGAATGGCACTGTATAAATACAAGGCTTTTTTCACCTTTGTTTCAATTGAAAGCACTGATCTCTTGTGACTAGCACTATTGTTGTTCCCTATTTCATCAACAGCAGGCAGTCTTGGGAGCAAACATTAACCCACCATCAGTTTAGGTGGGATTTGATTACCCACACTGTCTACAGGGTTTTTTTTAAAAAAAGATATACAGTATTATAGTGATTTTTTTTGAGGAATTAAAATAAAGATTGGGCAGAGGCCTATTAACTCCTGCTAGAAATTACATTTACAGGCCATTGAAGTTGAATAGTCTGCAAATGTCCAATGTCCAGATGCCCAATGGCAAAGTTACCATATGTTCACAAAGGTCTACAGCACAGAAATAAACCCTTTGGCCCATTGTATCTGCAATGGACAAAAACAACCACCTAATTATTCTAATCCCATTTTAAAGCACTTGGCCAATAGTGTTATATACCTTGACATTGCAAATGCGTATCTAAATACTTCTTAGGTGTTAAGAGGGTTTCTGTATCTATCACCCTTACAGGCAGTGAGTTCCAGATTCCTACTGCCATCTGGGGAGAAAATAAAAGGTTTTCCCTAAATCGCCTCTAAACCTCCTGCCTCTTACCTCAACTCTATGTCATTGATCCCTCCACCAAGCGGAAAAGTTCCTTCCTGTCTACCCTTTCCATGCCCCTCATAATTTTATACATCTCAATCATGCCTCCTCTCAGTATACTCTGCTCAAGGGAAAACAACCCCAGTCTGTCCAATCTCTCTTCATAACTGAAACGCTCCAACCCACGCAACTTCCTGGTAAATCTCCTCTGCACCCGCTCCAGTGGTATCACATTCCTCCTATAATGTGGATTCCAGAACTGCATGCAATACACGAGCTGTGGTAGAACCAACATTTTATACTGCTTCAGTATCACCTCCCTGCTCTGAATCTCTATGCCGTGGCTGATAAAGGCAAGCAAGCCAGCTACCATCAGTTCTGAGGAAGGGTCACTGGATCTGAAGTATTAACTCTGATTTCTGTCCACAGATGTTGCCAGCCTGCTGAGCTTTTTCAGCAATTTCTGTTTTTGTTCCTGATTGACAGCATCCACGGTTCTTTCGGTTTTTATGCCGCCTTAACCACTTTATCTACCTGTCCCATTACTCTAAGGGAATAATGGACATGCGCACCAAGATCCCTCTGATCCTCAGTACTTCTCAGGGTCCTACTGTTCATCATATATTCCCTTACCTTTTCTGTCCTGCCCAAGTGTATCACCTCACATGTATCCGATTGAATTCCATTTTGCATTGATCAGTCCATCTTCTTTATCCTCATGTAATCTAAGGCTGTCCTCCTCACCATCAATTTTTGAATCACAGCACTTTGCCAATGGAGAACAGGCAATGCCTGTGAATCTCCACTCACAGCAAGGATTGGAGTCTTCAGGAGAGAAAAAAATATGGATGGAAGGGGGAAGAGAGTGGTACAGTGTGCTAAAATGCTCAACCTTCTCACAGTACAACTTGTGACTATATCTGGCCTGCCTTGCAACAATCTCCTGGTGCAGGACAATTCCATATAGTGCTAGTTACTCTGATTAAATTCCTGCTGATGCATAGCCTGCCTGGCTGGTATTGATAGCTCAGTGGCTATGTGCGTCCAATGTGGCATTTAGGATGGTGTTAAGGGTTGTAATGTGTCACTGCTGACAGCAAGTAGGCAAAAATATACAAGACTGCATATCCTTTTACACCACATATAGAGACCAGGTTAGTAAATGAGTGTGGAATCATTTAAAAGTAAAAATAATTACCAGCCTAGTTTTGAAACAGTCACTATTTCACTTTCACGCTGTCTTGCCTCTGAGCCATAGATATCACAGGGTCTAAGCTCCACTCCAGAGTCTTGAGTACCTAGTCAAAGTTCCCACTTCAGCACAGCGCTTGAAGGAATGCTGTAGTGGCAGAGGTACCGTCATTCAGATGGAATATCAAATCTAGGTCCCTAACTGTGACTGCAGTTCCACACCAAGCTCTGATATTGCCTGGGAAATCTCCTCGCACTGCAAAAACCAGCAAGAGAAAGAACAGTCAGGCCCATCCTACATTGGTGCTGAGTCCTAGTCCAGGAACTCCTGACAATGCATGGTCACCATTAACATGGCAATAGTGCAAGCCATCACCCCATGTTCTCTGGCAACTTGGAGTTGAGCACTGTAAAGTGGCCTGATTAGCATTTACCAAACCTCAGAAAACAAGTCAAAAACAAACAATGTAGTTTGGGCCTAATCATGGAATCACTTTGGGAATGAATTCATTTCCTACCAAACTTCTGACATGTAGTTGTAAATTTTACTGAAATGTGTTCATATTGAGTCAGTTCTTTTCAGATGCAAAGAGACAACAGACCATATAAAATACAATATACAGCCAATGAAGTATGCTTACTGGCAGCTCCTCCAACAATGTGATAAGTGGCTGGAACTCCCTTTGTAACAGCTGTATGGCTGGACCTACACACCACAGACTGCAGTGATTAAGGTGGCAGCTCACCACTGCCTTCTCAAGGTCTCTCAGAGACAGACAATAAATGCTGGCCCTAGCCCACATCCCATAAACAATGCTGGTTGAGAGTTAAAATTGGCTACCATACTGGGAAAGCCTTCCCTGCTGTTATATTATAGTGCCATGAAATCTTTTATACCCATCAGAGATCCAGGGAGGTTTCAGTTGAACAGTTCAACCGATAAACACTACCTCCAACAATGCAGAACCCCTTCGGTACTTTGTACTGAAGAATATATTGTACAAGATTGTTAGTACAGGGAAGGGTTTACTGAC